GGCTTGCCCAAGCTGCATTGATCAACTGGAAAGATGGGCCCAGGTACCACATCCCTCACCAACCTGGCTTCATGCTTGTGTTTTAAGGGTTCAGGCTCCAAGGTTCGCCCCCTCCCTGATCATCGCTGCTCCTGGAACGGGATCATAGGGCTCTCTTCCACAGGTGGGTCTGGGGCTCCCCTATCGCAAAGGGGATGGAGGGCAGGCAAAGGTGACAGCAGAGCAAAAATATGGCGATGTTTTACAGCTGCCTGCATCTCCTCTAATCAGGATGACCAACTCCAGCAACAATCTCCAGCGGAGAGGTCTTTCCCTTAAAGGGGGTGCTAGCGCGTGGGCTTCCTGCACGCGCCCTGCCACCCCCACCGCCAAGGCGCCTAGCATTTTGATGCTCTGTGGGCGCACCGCGTCAGCGTTCCAGAGGCTGCTTGCAGCTGGTATTTCAAGGTGAGCTTTAGGATCAAGCAAAAACCGAAGCTCAACTCGGCTGCGCCGGACCTTCAACTGTGCCAAGACCCTGACTTTGGAAGCTGATGGGGAAATGGTTAATGGTGCAGAGTTACTCATTTATAAGCCTTGACCAGTTTGTTGAAAGGAGATGGAGCCGTGCCAATTCCTGCACAGGAACCAGTCATGGGGAACCCTGGCCCAGTCACAGAGCTCCTGCCTGGCCTGGCCCGGCCCGGCCCGGCCTCCCAGGCCCGCCTCAAAACCTCCGCCTCGGACGCCAAAGATGCCCAACCTCTGCCCGAGCCCTTGGGAGAAGCCTCGACAGAGGAGACTGGCCAGTCTTGCCTAGAGACTGCCCTAGACAAGACCGGTGCCCCACTGGATACCCTTCCGGCTGGCTAGAGCAACGGTGGGAGACGGAGTCTGCCTCGCGCAGGAGGCACCAGGTGGGGGAAGCCGAGTTAAGAGGGGCTCTTCTTCAGGTCTGACTACGGTCTGGCATGACCCAAGAGCTTCCCCTTGGAGGCTGCCCAGAGACAGGGAAAAGGCCCCGAGCCCATTGCAAGCAACCGCTTCTCCCACAGCAGCTGCCTGTGCACCAAGGTCTGGCAAGGCCCCTCCGCCACGGTGAAGTACAACACAGCCAACTGGCTTCATTAACAGAGCATTACGTTGAGCAGGAAAGCTGCTGGGAGGTGGGGAGTTATTCTGGACCCTTATTCATTTCTCAGCTTGCTTGTCACACCCCTGTTCTGCTACTGCAACTCCCCCCATCCCGTGCCTTAACCGTTTGCTCCAAGTGCCAAAACCCAAATCCCTCATCGAAAAACCTAGCAGAGCCTATTAATCGAGGCAGCGGGGAGCCCTCCCCCCACGCACTCCTCAGGAGGAAAAGGCCCTGCTCAGAGCTCCTTTGAAGAGGAAACTGCCGGCCTCCTCCCCTCTGCTCCACAGCAGCTCCTGCACTTCTTTGATCAGGCAAGCCTTCCCTGCCAGGAGGAACCATGGGGGGCTCCTGCCCCAGCCCACAGACAGTCAGCTGGAATGGAACAGTAACAGCCGCGGCTCCTAAGGCTGGCGATTAATCCACAGGCCTCCCCTCGAGGCCACAAACTGCCCTGGAGCCCCCAGGCCCAGGCCCACCCAGGGCTGCAACACGACAACCCCAAGTCGAGGATCCATGTTTCACTTTTCATGGCTATTCAGCTCTAGAACCACGTTAACCCACCAAAACATCCCCCCAGTGGCAGGAGACAAGAACATTTCAGGAACGCGTGGCTCTTTCCGCAAGTGGCCCCCGCAGCCAAAGAAAGCGTAAAGAGGGTGGATCACGGGAAGGCCGTCCTCCCCTGACATAAAGCCCTAGCCTGGTTCATATGTAGGCTCTGACTGTGGGGTTTGTTTCTGGCACCATGACCAGCCCAATTGTTCTACCAGCCACAGCTGGTAGAACAAAGCATGCACGACCACAGCCAGTACCCCCTCCGCATTTCCCCCATGTGGGAAAGTCTTCTTCACCAGAACACACATGGGGCCCAAAGAACTCTGCCTAAGACAAGGCCTCAGGGAGCCAGCTTCTGCAGGAGGCGTCAGAGAAACAGTCAGCCACAGTAAGCTGATCCAGAAGAGTGTCAGCTCTCCTCGTTGCGCCTGGGCATGGTGTGAATGCCGCAACCTGCAGTGAGCATGAACTAATATCCTGTCACAATCTGCAGACTGGGAAACGACGGCCTAACCAACCACTGGCTTAACGTCACAGAGAAGGACAATCCCGACACCCCTGGAAAAGGAGGCCTCGATTCTGCCCGACTGAGAAAGCTGTTCTCCGTCCCCAGCCATGCCAGAGGGAGGCACGGGGCTGCCGCTGAAACGTAGGGCACCTTTGTCCTGGAAGAGCGCTGGCCAAGGGCAGGCGGAGTCTGCTTCTAAAAGGGCGTGGCAATCGCTGCCTCTGCAGAGCGAGTAAGAGCCACCTGGCCAGGCTCAGGTGTGCCATTCCGGGCTCAGGGCTGCTTTGCTTCGGGCAAAAGCCGAAGGTCACACAGCAGAGCTCTTGTGTGTCTTCTGGGGAGGTCAGGACTGGCGGCTCTTGGATCTCCCTTGAGTAATCCCGATTCCCAAAGCTCCAGGAGATAACCCGGGGATGGCACTTTGGACTGCCCCCAATTATCCCTCCTCTGCTCAAACAGGAAGGGCAAAGTGTTGCTAGGCAGGGAGGGTTCATGGATGACTCTCACGAAAATACAGGTAAGGGAGCACGCCAACAAATTCGGTTCCGGGAACGGCAAAGGAATCTGTCACTCGGGGCGGAGAAGTGGCTTCCAGGGCTCCGGAGAAAGCAGGCTGCCCTCCTCCTCGGACAAGGAAGTTGGGGCGGGAAACTCTCTGCCCCGGACCTGGCATGAGCCAGAAGGCCAAAAAGCAGCCCGGTGTCAGCCTGCCAGGTCCATTTTGCAGACACGAAGCCCAAAAGTTTCACCACGTTCTGGCGCGTGGACCGTGCATAGGTCCCGCGTGCCGCGTGCTCCCGCCGGGCTCCCTGGACTCCCACGTCTCCGTAACGGTCAGCCGCACGCAGCAGGGCCAGCGAGCCCAAGCCACCAGCCCCGCCAAAGCCGGCACCCGTTCCCCGGCATCAGAGCCTTCTCCGCGGCCGGCAAAATGCCGAGTTTTTTATCAAGCTGACAGCGTCCCTCCCCCCGCACAACTCTGGACGTGAGCGGGAGGGGGACGCAGGGGACGGGGACGGGGACCGGGACGGGGACCGGGACCCTCCCACCAGGGGCAAAGCTCCCGCCGCCCGCCCTGGGCAACCTGAGGATGGGCCGCCTTCCCAAGGACAGCTCCGGCGGGGTTCAGGAACCCACGCCACGCAGCGCCCCGAAGGCTCCCTCCTGCCCG